TTCAAAAGCTAGGCCAAGACCAACAGAAACCGAAGGACAGCCCTGAGCTGGGGAACAGAGCCCACATTAACAGCTGGCATGGTTAGTGGGCCCATGCTGACAGAGGTGTTTTCTAGGACTTTGCTCTCAATAGAAAACATACATCTTTTTTTACTTGCTAGGTCATCCAGGTTGACCTTGAATTCAAGATTCTCCTGCCTCGGAAGACCAACTGCTGAGATTACAGGTGTATGTGGTGAACTTCACACACCTATCATTGGGGGTGGAGAGGGTAGCTCAGTGGTTAAAGTGATTGCCGTGCAAATATGAGCACCAGAGTTCGGATCCCTAGAACCCATGTAAATGCTGGGTGGGTGTAGTGACTCACCGATAATCTCAACACTAGGAAAGCAGAGACAGGTATCCCCAAGTCAAGCTGTCAAGGGAGACAAACACCACCAGCAAACTCTGGGAGGTAAACCCAGCTGTGCACACAAGTTGGACCTCAATCCAGGAAGACACGGGACTTCATGTACATGTATATATGCAAAATACACATGCACACATCCTTTCAAACACATCAGAACATCCAGAAAAAAAAATGGTCAGGAAAAAATCCTCTTTTAAAAGACCAACCAATCCCCCACCATTGAGACAGAAGCCTCATGAGTCTACCACAGCAGCCTGGAGAACCACAAATCCAGCAGCAGAGACAACAGAAAACTCCACCTGCCGCAAATCACTCCAAAAGCACACACCACTTCCAAGCTCCCTCGGCAGAAACAAGAAGAAATTAGCACCTCTCTGGCGGTGACAGACAGACGGACAGCTCAGACTTATTTAGCCAAAAGTATACTGGAAAACAAGAAAGACCAAAAACAACTGTAGCCCCAACAATACATTTCAGGTGGGAAGAAACACTGAAGAGTGCAGGTCCCTCAGCCCAACAATAACAAACTCCAAGAGGGCTGCAGGCTCTCGTAAACTATGACCGCAGACAGCATGATAGGACGCGCTCCAGAATCAAAGAGGTGATGGTCTCCCTCAACACTGACTACAAAGGCTTTAACGCAGGACTCCAACCAACTCGAGCCCTATGAACTTAAAAGTCACCAAAGGTCTTAGAGGGAACACCTAGAATAACTGTAGCTGAACAATCTGTACCAGAGGAACCCTGGGCTGGAGAGGGGCAATGGCTGGTACCTCCAAGGGAGCTGAACCAGAGCCAGGAACTTGAGGTTTCCAAACAGTTGATCTCAGTGGTCATCCCCAGAGCAATGCGGTAGGACCTCCCTGTCCCAGAGGCAAGTGGACAGGAGATTGTGACTGCTGGTTGAAGGACACCCAGCTCATGGTTATGGCCACAGCTGTCCTCCCCGGGTTTCACTTCCTCATTTCAAAAGGCGGAACACCTGCTCTGGGTGCCCTAGGAAACCTCAGACTGCCCAAGTTCTCCAAAATGGACCTGTAAACGATGTTTCCCGGATCCAGCCAAGACAATCTTGTTCTTTTAAACTCTCCTCCTCTGTCAGGGAGCGTGAACAGAGGTTAAGCATGTAGGTTTGTGGGTGACTGGTGTCACCTGCCAGGTCTCCACACCAGCCTGTCCCCCCCATTCCCCGCCCCATCCCCCAAGGGACTGAGGGGAAAGGGCTCATTTAACAATAATCTGTAAACTGATTGGATGGAGGCCTGGCAGCATTCACAAGACCATTGGGCACTGCCAAGTTAAAAAGCTGACCTTAGCTGCATGTTGGGTGTGGGGGTGCTCATCTTGTGACTAGTTTTCATTGTTTGTAACCAGTGGTGAAGATGGGAGGCTTCCTGTGTGACCCTAAATAAGCTACTGAACTCCTCTGTCATTTCATCCGGAAAATTTGAGTATCTTACAGCCCCTTGCCTCCCGGGGCTTAAACAAACTGAGTAAGATAATACAGGTGTCTGGCTCCTCCCACCTCCCCTGATTTCTACTCCTGCCCCTCCCAGCTCCCTCAATCCCACCCAATCCCACCACTTCCTTGCTATGGGCAAAACTCAAGGAGCCTGCTCACTGCACAGAGCCTTTGCACTAGCTCTTTTCTACTTGGGATCTCAACTCCAGAGCTAACTCCTTAGAGCCACCTTCTTAGGACTGTCAGCTTCCTGGGGGCCTCTACTGCTGGGTCATTCTGGGTTTTGACTCTGGCCTACTGATTGACACCCCACCCATGAGTACTGGCCTTCATTCTGTAACTACTTCTGAGGCTCTCAGTCCCAGAGCATCCCCTTCCCCATCTTCCCACCAACCCCATGAAACCCACTCCTTCCCTTCCCAATGCCCACACATCTAGGAATCCCTCAACTGGGGCCCCCCACTTGAGGCTTCGCTGCCTCCAAGAGGCTGTGGGCCCCAGAGCATGAGTCAGTGGTGGCAGCACCTGGAACTGCCTGACATCAGCGCTTCTTAGAAAGACACGCTGTGCTCAAGAGACCGAACTGCACCCGTAGCCCACAGGCTACAGGAAGCCCTGTGCCGCCCCTCGAGAGACTCCTACTGATCTTCGTTCCTCCCATCTTTCTGCCAGACACCTGCCTGGCACTGTCACTGACAGGAGGTGCCTGTGAAACCCCAGGAGCTTAGACAACCATTTCTCCTCATTGTATGAGCTGCCACTCATGACCCAACAGGGTTGGCATCACCCCTCAATCAGTTGCAAGCGTGGTGCTAGGGAGTGACCCTGCTGACTCTTTGGAACAGTGGAGCAGGGGTGTGAATCTGGTGTGAGAGTCGTTCCTCTCAGGGAGTCTAAACTGCAAGGACTTTGTCAAACATCCCATCTTTGTCCTAGCACACCTGGTCTCTTAGAGGAAAGAAGAGCCAGCAGCAGCTTGGAAAAGCAATGTCACCCTAAGTGGGAGAAGGCAATCACCTGCCTTGCTCTCCCATGAGTGACGGTTTAAAAACACCATTTCATAACCATTCTCATCCCGGATACCCTGACAAATGGGAGGTTCAGGGAGGAGGAGTGATTCTCTTGAGCTCACACAGGTAGGCACAGCAAGGTCAGAGCTAAAGCTGGGCCCCTGTCCTTAGTTCTACCCCCACCCACAGCCTCGGGCTCAGAGAACCAGAACGTTGGACTCCAAGATGCCCTGATCCATGCTGGATGTCTGAACCTGGATTGGGTGTCCACCCAAGCAAGCCTCATGTAGATTCAACAGCCAAGAATGGAAATCCAGTGAGACACAGCCAGACAGACCTAAGAGGCTCAACCAAGGAACACTCAATAATGTCCTGTCACAGCAGACACAGGCACAGGGCAGTGCCAGGTGGGGAGAAAGGGAGCCTTCAGCCCCTGTCTCTGTCACTGTCTGATGTGGGACCACAGCAAAGTCACTGCACACATAACTGGATGCCAGTGGTCTCACTTTGCTAAATGAATCCCTGTGGGTAACAATAAGTGAAAGATTTGTTCACTTAACCCTGAGTGCCTGCTGCCCCTAGGTGCATTTTTGAATGGGGTGTAAATGACCTCATGTACCCTCACCACAAGGCCAGAGTGTCCTCAGAACATCACAACAGAGACTGAGCTTGGAGCACACAAGAAACAAATCAAGCCTTTGCTGGGTCAGGAGCTCTGGCTTTCAACCTCCAAGCCTCAATTGCCCAAGAAGACCTCCTGTGCCATGGAGACAATGACAAGCTTCTTACTACACATGCCGAGTGTGAAGCCCAGTGTGAACGTGTACCCCAGCTGAGTCCCCTCCCCAGGCCCCAAAGTAGTGTGCAGTATGGATGAGGACAAGCATTCTTTTCACTCATCTCCAAGTGCAGCAGCAGGCCATTGTGTCTGCCTCAGGGACAGCCTCCCTGGCTTCCTCAGTCTGGGATGGCACTGTAGAAGAGCTCAGCACTTCACAGCACAGCCCAGATACTGAAAACCATCAGCTGATCACAACCCTGCCCAATTACCACTGTGTGGTCATTTGGGCAACTCACCCGGGTTTCCCCATCCCTGCTCTGAAGATCTAAGAGCAGGACCAGGCCCAGCAATCTGCCCCATGACTTATTTACCCAAACCCTCCAGCAGGGCACCTAGCACCTCCTGCAGCGATGTCTACCTATCTAGCTCTTCTACATAAGCTAGGCGGTAGAGTGAGCTTTCCTACTTTCTAGCCTTTGCGCACATGCTGTACCCACAGCTCAGCATGCCTTCTCTTGCCTCTGAGTCTCAACCTGCCAAAGTGTTCTCCCACACCCCAAACTGGCTCAGGAACTGCACTTCCCTAGGAAGAGGTGCCTTGCCCATTATACCCTAACCCTCTGTCTTGTGTGTTCTTCCCTCAGTCAGCTAGCAGAGCCTAAAACAGCAAGCTGAGCACGGATGACCTGGAGAACAAACTGATGGCACAATGGTCACCTCCCATCTCTGCCTCAGTGTCCCCCAATATGGCCAAGACTCTTCTGGCTGATTCCTAAGAGCTCTTGCCAGGGCTGTGGAATCTTTTTATTCTCATCTGGTCACACACATCCCCACACCTCAGTTTCCCTCATCAGATCTTACGATGGAACGCCCCCAGCAAACACCCCCAGGCTCCCAAAAACCAACTGTGGAGGAAAAGGTCACAGTGGGCCCCACACCTCCCAGAGGGATGGGTTAAGGCAGATAACAGGAGTGCTGGTTTGGGGACAGCATCTGGATCACAGATTGGCTGGCTCGCTTATACAACGTCCAGTTTGCCACAATAAACACTCAGGTTCCTGGGTTACTGAACCGGAACCTGGGTGGAGCCTGGCAGTTTCAGCTTTTAGAAGATCCCCCTCAGCGTCCTGGTGGGGCCCGCCAAGGCTGCCTGGGCTCCAGCAGGCAGGCGGGCGGTCCACCTGCTTCAGACCCGCGCCCGACGGCAGGCGACCCTGCCCGGAAAGGGAGCCCAGGCGCCCCACGCCACCCGAGGATCCGCGGACCCTGATCCCAGCCCTGCTCTATTCCGCGCCCACCTCTGGCGGGTCCTGAGCCTTCCCCACCGCCCGTTCCTACCTGTGCGCTCAAGCTCCACGCGCCGCGCGGGGCTTTCCTGCGCGCTGGACCTCGCCCGGCTTCCTACGCCGCCCGGCGCCCCTTATTTACATGTGATGCCCCGCCCCGTGCAGGTCATTTACATACCCCGCCCCTCCGTCCTCTCATTTTCACTCACGGTTCGCCGGACCTCTCTTTGTCGCCTAGCCATTTGCATGCCCCACCTCACGCGTCCGCAGCGGTCGGGTGCTTTGGCTTATGAGTCCAGGGACTTCAGGATTCGAATCTTTGCCTTAGCCCAACAGATCAGCCCCGTTGTGATCGCGGCTGTTTGCTCATCCTTCCAATGTTTACCCCGTGCCTGCACCAGAGAAATTAGAAAGCAAAACACCTTATCAATCAGGAGCGAGTACCTCCTGTCAGGTCCCAGTACTCCATGCTGCCACTACCTTCCAAGTCTTGTGCAACCATCCTTTCCAGATGGAGAAACAGAGGCATGGAGCAGTTAAGAAACTTGCTTGGGGGCCTGTGAGATGGCTTGCAAGTTTGAGGACATAAATTCTATCCCCAGAATCCGTGTAAAAGTGTAAAAAGACAGAACTGCCTCCACAAAGTCGTCCTCTCACCCCACCACAGTGCAACTGTGGCCAGCCAGAGCCTTTGTCAGCTGAGCCATCCCACTGGCTTGTTTTTTGAATTATGGTTTGATCTTACTTAGATTTTTGGTTTTTGAGACAGGATCTTGCTATTGGGCTTGGGCTCTCATATTGTAGCCCAGTCTGAACTTGAACTCAAAGCAATCCTGTCTCACATTCCCAAATTAGGATTGCAGGCATAAGCTACCACACTTTGCTGTCTTCTGAGTCTGTAAGTCACTTTTTGATCCCTCCTGGGCCACCTGTCTGTGCTCCAACTCTGCATTGTGGTAACTGGATGACTTAGGGTAGGGTAGGCTATCCTTGTCACACCCCATGACCCCAGCCTGGAAGGAGGGACCAGGAGAGTTGCATCTACATGTGGCAGAAATAGGTTGTCCTGTGATGGTAATTGGAACCATCCCTGTTTGGCTTAGGTACTCAGAGAAGCTCTGTAGAATTAGGCCAAGAAAGTAGCTGGGCCAGAGCCTGCATGCCTGGTTGTGAAATCAGAATCTAGACTGTGGACAGACCGGAAGGCCAGTGCACATATGATCAGGCATTGGGAAACATTGGGGGCATAGTGGCAAGGGTTCTTAGCACTCCTCTTGCAATCTTTCTATGAATCTGAGCTGATGTCAAAACAGAGACAAGGAAACTGGCCAAGAAGACAGACCACAGCACGAAGTTTACATTCCCACCACAGTCCCAGACTTCAGTGACCATTCTGCCTAGCCTGAGAGTGGGCTGGGACTCCCAGATAATCCAGGCTTATATCTCAGTGCAGGGGCTTCCCAAGCTTGCCTCATTGCAAGCTCAGAGCACATCCTAGCACATCAGATAGAGTGGCCTCAGAGCTTGCTTCCGTTTTTAATAGACTTTTTTTTTTTGTTTGTTTTACAACAGTGGCAGTGTGATAGAACCAATCATAGGGCTGGGGAGAAAGCTGTTTAGCTGTTTGACTCCCTCAGTAGGTCCAAGTTTGAACCCCTACATCCATGTAAAAAGCTGTGAGTGGAGCTGGAGAGACAGCACAGTGGATAAGAGCACTTGTACCAGCATGAGAGCCTACCCTTGGCTCCCAGCATCGGAGTGAAAAGTTGGGTTTGCCTGCAATTCTGCACTGTGGGAAGTGGACACAGGAGGTTTGTGGGATTTTTTGGATGCCAGACTTACCCAGGTTCAGTGAGATACTCTTTCACAAGGGAAGAAAGTGGAGAATGATAGAGCAGGGCACCCAATGCACACACATGTTCACATACACCACATGCACATACATCCCACACACAAACCAGGCATAGTGGGGAGGCAGAGATGGATCCCTAAGGCCTAATAGCTAGCCAATCCAGACTGATCACTGAGGCCTAGATCCCTGTCTCAAAAACCAAGATGAGGGAGGAGATGTAGTTCAGTTCGTAAGTTGGTACAGTACCAGCCTAGCATGAGTGAGATGCTGAGTTCAACCCCCAGCACTACATGACCTCAATGTTGTGACACATGCATGTAATCTCAGTGCATGATTATACGTGGAGGGGGAATGGAGGCAGAGGAAGGTCAAGGTCATTATAGCAAGTCTGAAGCCAGCATGTGCCACCTGAGATCCTATCTCAAAAACAAACACAAACGACAAGGTAAGGGCTGGTGCTACTATAGCTTGATGGTAGATGGTTGAATGCTCAGTACCCCCCCCCAAAAAAAAAAGCACACGGTTCATGAGGAACACCACCCAAACTTGACTTCTGCCCTCCACAGGCATGTACACCTGCATAAACAACCTCCTGCACATATATGTACATATGCAAGAGAAACAAAGAATTGAGCATATACTAATGCAAATGGTCTGCATGTGGAGAGTCCTCAAAGGACTGGCGTGCTGCAGCTTGGTCTCCAGCCTATGGACACAGTCATTGAGAGGTTCATTGAGAGGTGACCAGATCCTAAGGCCTCTAACGTACTCCCTGGAATGACCCACCAATGGATTCATTGTCTGATGGCTCAACTGGGAGGTGCTGGACTCCAGAAGACAGGACCTGGCCAGAGGAAATATGTCACCAGGAATGCACTTTGTAAAAGTAGATTGTCCCTGGATCCTTCTTGTTGCTCTCTCTACTTCCTGGCTGCCTAGAGGCAAGCAGCTTTCCTCCTCCCTGCCCTTTCACCATCATATGCAGACATACTGAGACTGAATCCCACCAGCTCAGCTAGACAAGCCCAAAAGCAATGGAGCAAGCCAAAACTTGGACAGAAATGTCTGGTACTATATACCAAAACAAACCTTTGTCTAAGTTATGACAGGTGCTTTGTCACAGTGATGATGAGATGACAACTGACTAATGCAGATCTAATGCAGATATAGACTTCACATACACTCTCCCTGGAGCATTTTGTAAAGTTAATGTGTTATTGCCAATGTCCGGACTTGGCGTTAATGCTCACTCTCCTGTTCTGTAGCATTTTTTTAACCTTTATTTTATTTGTTATTGTTGGAAGGAGGTGCATGTGTGCCACTGCTGGCATGCAAGTCAGAGAATTTCTTTATGGAGTTGGTTCACTTCTTCCATCTTTCCATACATCATGCATTTATCAAAACCCACAGAACAGGACTTGTAGAATGGTTCATCTGGTGATGACACCTATTGCCAAGTTTGAGGAACTGAGTTCAATTCCTGGCATCATTGGAAGGTGAGAATCAGCTTCTTCAAGTTGTCCTCTGACCCCCACACATGGCATACACCCTTTTCTTGAGAATAAATAAGTACATGTAATAAAATGTATCATTTGGATGTTATGCATGTTATATTCTCCAATCGCCTCTCTGAGTCATCTCACACTCACACACAACTGAACCCTTTCTTTGTCGTAATCATCCTCCCAGTTTCATGTCTTTTTTTTTTTTTTCAATGAGTTCGGTGAAGGTCCTTCCATAAGCATGATTGGGGAGTATTTACCAGGGCATGGGCAGCTAACCACTGGCTATCTATACCACTGAACAAACAACCCCTCCCCTCTGGTAGCCACTAACTGCCAGTGGCTCCTCAGAGACAGGCTGCGTCTCCCAGGATCTACTTGCTTCTGTAATGGAGAGTTTGAAGTGTCCAGCCTTGTGCAGGTCAACCACTGCAGCTGTGATTTCACGAGCGGAATGGCCATGCTGTGTCCAGAAGGCAGTGCTTCAGGGTAACCATCCACAACATCCTGCTCTTACGTTCTTTCCACTCCCTGTACTACAGTGTTCTCTGAGCCTTGGGCACAGTGACAGAGATGACGTGTTTAGGGCTGAGCACTCAGTAGTCATTCATTCTTGTACTTGGACCAGTTATGAGCCTGTTAACTGCTGCCCACTGGGGGGGGGGGGAAAGCTTGTTTGAGCAAGGCTGAGAGCAGCCTGAACCCATGGATGCAAACATGGGTTTTTTAGAAAGCAGCTAGACAACAAACCCATTTGGTTGTGCTTCATCTGTTCTGGCATTTAGTGTTGTTGATTTTTGGACTTTAGTCACTCTTTCATATGCTTTCTTTTAAATTGCCATTTGTATATATTATTTGCAGTCTGCCAGTAACTCTCCTCCCTCCTTCCTTCCCTTAATTCCTCGGAGACAAGGTCTTGCTATGCTGTTCATGCTATCCTAAATCTCATTACATGGCTCCAGGCGGGTATCTCAAATGCATGTCAGTCTTCCTATCTCATTCTCCCAAGTTCTGGGATGCTGGTGTAAAGCACAATGCCTTCCTTTTCTGGTACAAATGTGACTAGCTTTGTGTGTTTACTTTCAAGCCCAGCTTTCCATGCCTGGCCTATAGGAAAGCAGTTGACTTCTTATTTACTAATCTTATATCTTGTATCTCTGCCTCAAACAGCCACTACTTCCAGGAGCTTATCGTTGTTATTGACTTTTTAGGATGAAAAAATAAAAATAAAAAGATTTGCTAGGCGATGGTGGTACACGCCTTTGTTCCCAGCACTCGGAAGGCAGAAGCAGGTGGATCTCTGTGAGTTTGAGGCCAGCCTGGTCTACAGAGCTAGTTTCAGGACAGCCAGGGATACACAAAGAAACCAACAAAAATTATTTATTTTTATGTGTTTAAATGTTTTGCCTGTGTGTGTGAATGTATGTAGTTGGAAGCTTTTCTCTGTCTCACCTGGTCTCGCTGGACCAGTTTCTCTCCCACCCACCAGTTCCCAAATAACCACTCTGTGGTTTAATATTAATTACAAACTGTTGTAAGGAGTAGGAAGTTGTTATTAGCCACGTGGGCACCATATGTAAAGAGTAAGGTTTTCCTTGCCGCCGGTCTGGTCCCACTGCCGCGCGAACCCCAAATAACACACTGAGACTCTGTATTAGATATAATGCTGTTGGCCAGGTACTAGTTTCTTATTGGCTAGCTCTGTCTTAATTATTAACCCATTTCTGTTAATCTATGTATTTCCACATCTTAC